CATGGTCTGTTCAGGGTTTTAAAAGAATTAATAAGTCCTCAGTTGTCGACTCTTTATTCATTTGAAGGCAAAAAAGGAAAACTGAAATTCAATGACCTCCGGAACCTCAAGATGACAATTTTTGGTAAAATGAAAATGGCTTCTTTGCTTCCAATAACTTAAAATTATGTAGGCCTATTTGTATATATCTAAAGCTGTCTGCTTATACAGAAAGACAAAGATGAGGTAAATGACAGATATATGGACAGAAGAATTGACAAGGCAAGATGCTGATAAGTTTTACTTTTTTTTTTCAGATTCTATACTAAGATCTTTTAAAAATTCTACTATAAAAGAACTGGAAAAGGGGACAAGTGAATGGCTTGCCATGTCTGGTGACCGTGCAGGGGGGAGAAAAAGAAGAGAGGGCCCCAACAAACAGCTACATAATCATAAAGAGGCTGAGTGATTATTTTAAGCATCAGCCCCCCCCCCCCCCCCCCCCAATCCCAAGTAAAACAAAATTGCTTACCTTCATTAATGGTATTTTTAAAAAATCATTTTTTTTAATAGAAGTACAAGTTTATTCAAAATAACATAAATGACTTAGTGATAGTGTTTACTACATTGTAAATCTGTGAAAATGCTGAATTTTTTTAACAAATACTATTACCCCTGTTATTTAAATGTATAAATTAAGTATTTTGTTTGAATGTTATTTTTACTTACCATAGTACATGACAGCTTCTGTATTCTTGTACAGTAAATTAAGTTTTTACATTAGTTTAATTTAAACTGTACTTAACAGCTGTTACATTATATGAACATTTTTGTATATTTGTTTTTAATTTGTTTGTATAAAATTAAAAGTCAACATGAAAGCTACTACACTACTATTTACATATTCATTTTCTATCAGTACTTTATAATATAGTTATAGTTTTCTTACATTTGAATGAATTGTATAATACATATTTTAATAGATGAACAGTTTTTTGTGAATGTATTGCTGCTTTATTACATTTTGATTAAAGTTTCTTTCACATTTTGAAATTAACTTTGTAAATATTATGACTGATATGAGAATGGAGCTTTTTGTATGTAAAAAATTAAATTTGAGCCTATTTTAGGCCAGGATATAATACAGGATGAGCCAAGGTATAGCCAAAATATAGCCATTATTGGGCCAAGATATAGCAAATATTGGGCCAAGATGTAGCCAGGATAAAATACACAATGAGCCAAGGTATAGCCAAGATATAGCCATTATTGGGCCAAGATATAGCCATTATTGGGCCAAGATATTGCCATTATTCTGCCAAGATGTAGCCAATATTGGGCCAAGATATAGCCAATATTGGGCCAAGATATAGCCAATATTTGGCCAAGATATTGCCAATATTGGGCCAAGATATAGCCAATATTTGGCCAAGATATTGCCAATTTTGGGCCAAGATATAGCCAATATTGGGCCAAGATATAGCCAATATTTGGCCAAGATATAGCCAATGTTGGGCCAATATGTAGCCGGGATATAGCCAATATTGGGCCAAGATATAGCCAATATTTGGCCAAGATCTAGCCAATGTTGGGCCAATATGTAGCCGGGATATAGCCAATATTGTGCCAACATTGCGCCAACATCATGCCGAGTTTCACTACCAATGTTTGGCCAAGGTTAAGCCAATGTTGCACCAAGATGTAGCCAATATTGGTAACCAATGTTTAGCCAATATTGGGCCAATATATGTGTGCTGACTGGGACGTAATAAGCGATTAGACTTAAAAATTGCGGATGCTTTTTTAAAATATATATTACTGAAGCAAGGTTGCATGTTATAGAATTCCTTTAATAAATATAGTTGAGCTGTTAGTCCGGCAGAAGTTGAGTTTTTCTTTAAAAAAAACTTTAGTTGTTGGCCTTGTAGGCCCTTAATGTTGTTAGCCTGTCGTCTCATTAGGACCAGAGTTTCTTCCAGGCATCTCTTCGGGGGGGGCGAAGCCCCCCCGAAAATTTTTTACCGCCCCCCCCCCCCCGAACGAAATGAAATTTATATAATTTATTTAGAAAATATATACTTTTAACAGTGTCCGCCCCCCCGAAGAAAGTTTACCGCCCCCCCGAAGATTTCAAGTGCCCCCCCGGAGAAAAAAGTCTGGAAGAAACACTGATTAGGACCGACAAGAGCCTTCATAACTTACACCCAACTGTAACCCATCTTTCTTGTGTCAATATGTTGCCTGCCTCTTTCTCTTTTGAAATAAAAGAATTAAATATGTGGCACGCAGAACACTACTTCATTACTAATATTTATATGCTTTTAATGCATAACACCCACATGTGTTTTGTATTTCTTTAATTTAAAAACAAACTATTAATAACGCGAAATAAATTGTGTTCTTCTGATAAAATTGTTATATAAGAGATTGAATATCCCTGGCCGAATTTGGAATCCCTACAAGATTTACGTAAGACACAGGCATGATGTAGTGGTGTAGGCATACATTTACAAATAAAAGATCTTTATAAACCATACCTATTAATTTTTCAGTTGACAGATCTAGTTTGCTTTAAAATCTCCCAACCCATATTATATAGCACAATAATTACAAAAAAAAAAAAAAAACAACAACAAAGACTAAGATTTTTTTTATAACAGGCATAGGGCATATTGCAATATAAAAAACCGCATATTACCCTACAATCTCATTAAATCTTATATCCCTAGTTGTAATGCTAGTGTCAATCAAGAATCATCCTTTTTTGACTTCACGCTTTTTTACGATTTTTATTTTACTGCCCCCACATCGTCACAAAAAGTCATACCTACCCCCCTCCCCCCAACCGAAAACACGTCAGACCTCAACCTACACCCCCCCCCCTTTCCCCGATGTTTTTTTTTTTTTTCTAAAATATTCATTGAGCTCGGTCAACGTAGTATTTTAATCAATGTCTATTTCACTTATTTAGATCTAGAAATCTAGGTACAGTTTTCTAAAACCCGAAATAACGGCAACAAATTGAGTTTCTAACGTTAGGCCTACTTAAGTACTTTATGATATCCTTTATCCATGATATCCTATGTCTAATAGACCTAATCTAGATCTAGTAATATTATTACTAATAAATACAATGGTGTACATAGATCTATATATTATTATAGATATCTAGCAAGATCTATACTACACATAATTAACAGTTTGCTCATAATTATATTGACATGAAGCACACCGGGTTGTGGCTCTTGTTCCAGTTTCTCCCCATCTTTATTGTGTGTAGTGTGTGTGTAGGCTCGGGCTTAGCGGTAGCCTACAATGTGAAAAAAAAAAAGAAAGAAGCAGAGTCTGGTGCAGGCCAAGCATGCAATATTGGTGTCTAATCTGACTCAGTGACTGTTCGACAATATTGAAATTAAAGATCGACTCGACTCGAGTCTACCTAGATTAGATCAAGGCCTACATAGTACATTTAACATTACACAAAATCAACCGTTTTACACCGGGTTAGGCTACACTACACTTACACTACACTGGCTTTTGTTCCAGTTTCTTCCCATTTGTGTAGTGTAGACTGCAGTGTATTAATTGCCACTTATTGTTTGTACTGTAGAATCTAATTCTAAATTTTAGTTAGTTAGATCTACCTAGATCTAGACTTATAGATCTTAGTTAGTAGTTAGTCTTAGTAGTACTGTGCTCTTAATATTATTATAGATTATAGATTATAGAGTAATATAGTCTAGAGTCTAGAGTGACTAATTACCAATCTAGTCACTTTATATTAAGAGCACAGTTGTCTAGATCTACTCCTAGGCTACCCGGTAAATTTGTAGATTCTAATCTACTAAATCTAGATATAGATCTAGATTTTAGAGAGATCTAGATCTAGAAAAAATAGAATCTAGATCTAGATTCTAGAAAAAATAGAATCTAGATTCTAGAATGTATCGAATATTGAATATAGTATATAGATCTTCTAGATCTATAAGGCGTATAAGGATCTAGATCTAGAATCTAGATCTAGATCTAGAGTTGAGTGAATAAGAATAAGATAATCTAGAGTTTTGGATTGTTACAAATTAATATCTAGATCTAGATTCTAGATCTAGGCCTACTGTAATGCAATGTTCAATGTAGCCTAATCTAGTCTATAGATTGTAGATTTTTTTATAAATTCTAATAGTTCATAGTTCATAATCTGCAGGAGATTTACAGTCCATTCACTACAGTATTACTAATATTGTAGTGCTGATTGATTCTAGATCTAGATATTCTAATATTACATTATTTTATAGTTATAGTAGTAGGGCCTAGACTAGTACTAGTAGGCCTAATAATACTAGATCTAGTAATATGAATGCCTTCAATGACAAAAAACTCGGATCCTGGGCTTAAGTCTTAAGACTGCTCCAAGCCCAGAGGCGTAGCGACCCTTTTCAATTTGGGCGCCCCCTTGGGAACAAACTTTCAATTTGCACTCCCCCTCCCTCAAACTTTCAATTTGCATTTGCACCCTCCCCCCTCAAACTTTTAATTTGCACCCCTTCCCATATATTTTTTATATTTATAATGCAAAACTGCAGCTAAAATGAGATTTTAATTTGTTTTTACCTCCCCGCCTCCCTTGCGACGCCTCTGCCTAAGTCCTGATGGGTACCTAAATAAATATAAGCTCAATCACTTTAAGAAAACAAAGATGGCTTGGCATAATGCTGACCACACTATCCCCTGTCTCTGCAGAGGTCATTGAAACGATGAACTCTACTTCAACTGCCCCATGTGTCTTAGTTTTGGGCATCAACAGGAAAAGATGATGAGTAATAGGCATATAACTTTAAAATATCATAGTTTTTTTATTTTTAGTTACCAAATATACAATAATCAAGTCCAACAATAACATTACAGTAGTTTTTATACTTATATATTTTTAACACCACATACAATTTTAAAAATACTAAATGAACCATTCAAGACAAAATATCTTCAAGTACAACTTAAAATTTTGTTTACTTTCTTTCTAGAAATGGCCAACTATGATGAAACAAGAAATGAGCTCCTAGACTCAACAATAAAAATTCAAGCTATTGGATGTTTTGTTACTATAATCAACAATTCATCAGTTACTGAAAAATATTTCACTTGCAATGGTAGAAAGTTGAAATAAAAAACAAAAAAAAAAATGACAGACTCATTATTAAAAGGAAAACGATTTTATTGTCGTGAATGGGCTTTTATGAAATTGCTTCATTGTCTAGAAACTAGATCAACCTCTAAAACATGTGGGACTCTGGTGATGGGTGGACCAGGAAGTGGGAAAACTGCTTTAGGTTGTGAGATGGTTTGGCCTACATCTCAAGGAAAGCAAACTGCTCTCAAGTCACGAATTCTGGCATATCATTTCTGTCAGGCACATGATTCATCTTCTCTGTCAGTTGTCACTTTTATAAAAAGTTTAGTTTCTCAAGTTTCTCTTTCAGGACTTGTTAGAGATTTTAAATCTCAGGTTTCTTCCCCTGCCATCCAACATGTTCTTGATCCTATAGAGTGTGAAGCTAATGCTGATGAAACTTTTAAAGTGGCATTCCTTGAACCACTTCATGCTTCAGAACCTCCTGAGCAACCTTTAATGATCTGGGTTGATTCCATAGACGAATCATATCTTCAGCCTGTCAATGAAAGGGTAACGTGTAGTCAAACTATAGCTGAGCTTTTGGCCAACCACAATGCTAATTTTCCTCCATGGTTATTGCTAGTTTGCTCAGCAAGAAAACAAAGTAAAGTTGTCACCCGCATGTTTACTGGATTTAGAAAGCTTAGTTTAGATGATTTACGCAAGTCACACGTGGTGAGAGATGTCCAGCAATATATACTGTGTAGATTGGATGAGGAAGATGGCTTGAGACAACATTTAAGTAGAGACACTGCAGAAATGCTTAATCAACTCCATATTAAAAGCAATGGCTGTTTTCTGTATCTGGAAAAAGTGTTGGATGGAGTTGCTGAGTCATTTATTATGCTCAGGGAAGTGAAAGAAATACCAGGAACTTTAAATGGTCTTTATTTATGGCTGTGTCAGAGATTATTTATAAAGAAGCATGTAGTGAAAATTCAACCTATTTTAAATGTGCTTCTTGCTTCTTCTACCCCAGTGAGTACTGATGAACTTTTTGAATGTATGCTTGTAAAAGAAACAGATATCAAAAGAGAAGACTTTGAACAAAGACTAAAACTTCTGAGTCGGATTTTATTCAATGGACCAAGAGGTGAACATATTTTGTTTCATCATAGCTTTGCTGAATGGTTGCTTGATGTCAAACATTGTACCCAAAAGTATCTTTGTAATGCTGGTGAGGGCCATGCTATGATAGCATTACGCCTCTTGCAACATGCAGAAGAACTAACTACCTCTGGCATTCAAGACTTAGCACTACACCTGGTTAGGGCCAATTTTTCAGAGTCAATACATTTTGAACATTTGACACAAATGCTGTTGCTTTCAGGGGCTAAAATTGAGAAAAGTCTGTATGATGGGTTGCCAAAAGATGCAAAAGTTTTAAAACTCCTGACTGATGCTGGAGCAAGAGTGGACTTAATGAGTGCAAGTATGTGTAGTACTGATTCATTAAGTATGCAGAAAGCAAGTTGTGAAGTTGTCTGCAGCTATATGAGTCTAGATGAGTCAGATGCCAATGGTCGGACTCAGCTTCATACTGCAGCTCATAGGGGTGATATTCAGAAAGTCAGTTGTTTAGTTGCAAGAGGGGCTGCACTTGAAATACAAGATCGTTCCGGACAAACTGCACTGACCTTGGCTGCACGTCAAGGTCATTCAAGTATCATTACAGTCTTACTGAATGCAGGAGCAAATGTAGACCATTCTGATCATGAGGGTTGGACAGCATTACGTTCAGCAGCATGGGCAGGTCACACCAAGGTAGTATCACTTCTATTAGATAAAGGTGCCCAAGTTGATCATGCTGACTCAGAGCAAAGGACAGCATTAAGAGCAGCTTGTTGGGGAGGTCATGAAGATATAGTCAGGCTACTTTTAGAGCATCAAGCAGACGTCAACAAAACAGATCATGAAGGAAGGACAGCTTTAATAGCTGCAGCTTACATGGGACATGTTGAGATTGTTGAACAGCTCCTTGACCATGGCGCCAACATAAATCAAGAGGACATAGATGGACGCACTGCCCTCAGTGTTGCATGCTTATGTATTCCAGCTAGTGAAGGTCATGAAAAGGTGGTAAGTCTCCTGCTTGAACGCTCTGCAGAGGTCGACCATACAGATAAGGATGGAAGCACACCACTCTTAGTTGCTGCTTATGAAGGTCACTCTGGAGTTTGTGAAATGCTTTTGGAGTGGGATGCTGATGCTGATCACGTAGATAATAAAAATAGGACTCCACTTTGGGCAGCTACTTCCATGGGTCATGAACAAGTTGTAAGGCAACTTTTATTTTGGGGTGCAGCAGTTGACCACATTGACTTTGAAGGAAGAACTGTTTTGAGTGTTGCAGCTGCTCAGGGATCAGAGTCTGTAGTCAGGCAATTATTGGACAGAGGTTTAGATGAGATGCATAGAGATAACTCTGGATGGACACCACTACATCTAGCAGCTTATGAAGGACATTTGCATGTGAGTCAGAATATTTTTGTATTTCATAATAGTTAGTATCATACTATTGACATCAAGAAACATATGTTCAGTAATTTATTCGTTTGATTTTGTGGTCATAGAAGTGTTTTACCAACATTGGGTAGCCTAGGTAACTATTACACAGTATGAGAACACATATTTGTAACAATGTTCATTGATTTTGTTCAAAATTACTAAAAACAGTAATGACCAAAAAGATTTAGCACTTTGATTATTATTCAATTAGCTTTTAAAAGCTGTGGTTATTTTTATTTTATAGGTTTGCCACATGCTTTTAGAGCAAGGAGCCAAACCAAATGAAGTTGATAATGATGGCAGGATTGCACTTATACAAGCGGCACAGGAAGGTCATTTGGAGGTTGTGAAAAAACTTGTGGAATATGGTTCTAATGTAAATCATAGGTCCCATGAAGGAAAGACTGCCTTGCGTGTGGCTGCTGTTGAAGGACATATACAGGTGGGCTATTACATTTGGGTTTAACTGCATTAAACTAAGAATAGTAAGATAATTCCATGTTTGTTACTATATAACCCTTACACTGCAATTGATGTCTGGTTATAAACATTGAACACCACAATCAGATGATAAAATTTCCAGTTACAACCGCATCTGTATTGAGCTCTGTTGTATGTTGTTGCTTCTTCACATAGATACGAAGAAAGCGTTAACACTTTTCTTTACATACTATATTGGAACTAAACATAATTTTGATTACAAGAAACATGCATTTATTTTTCTTTAATACATACATCAGTTTGACTGAGTTCTTTAGTGAATACAGATAATAACCAATCCAATTATTTTATTCTTGTAAATCAGAAATTAGGTACATCATTCATGTTGGTGCTAGTGTAATTGATTTAGGCAGCTGAAAAATGTCACTGCGCCTTTCATCAAATAACAAAAAAATGTCAGTTTCCCTATCCGTTCATGTCATATAAAATATAATTTATTTTACCAAATTTTACACAGTTATTAGTATAGCTATAACCCTGCATTGAAATATCCTTGATGAAACAAATTGTTTCAATACATCACTCATTTTTTCTATAATTAGGGCAAGTTCTAATTAATATGTTCTTCCCCTAATTTGAAAAACAAAAGATTTTTTTTTCTCTCATTTATAGTAGAACTAGCCATCGGTACCCATTACACATGAATTATAGGCCTATATAATTTTATGTAATACTTGTTTGAGAAAAATATTTTATAAAATAGTTGTTGGTCAAAATGCAATGTGCTTTACTACACATTGAACAATATTAGCAAAGAAAAACTAAATAGCTAAAAATCTGACACATTTAAAATAACGTAGGCTACTAATACCTATCAGTAAAAACCAAATTATTATTATTAGTTAACACCATATTAAATGCACACACTGATTAAGAGACTTAATGATTCCATTAAAAACCTGGCTGTTCAATGGTAATTTGTATTACTTTTTGGCAAAAATGTTTTTATACATTTCATAGCGTACATCTTGATATTAGAAGCTCTATAGATCTAGATCAAATTTGAATGAAATAGTTCATTTCTTCGTATTCTAAAATTGGAAGATGATGCCATTAGTTTTGTGTACTTTCCATAGTCTAAAAATGTGACATGTGACTTCATTGTTTTTTGCGTTCTTGTCACAACAATAAACACTTTTCCTGTTGCATAGTTAAAAATGTGTTCCTACCTTCGAATATGCCTTGATTTTTATTTTCCGTCTTTAAATAAAATTTAGTTTATACATTTAAGAGATCCAACATATTATTTTCAACAGAAGTCAGTATCTATAAGTTCTCCATATATTGCTGAGCATACTGATTACATAGCTTCAAAATTGTTGTGGACAGAGAGAGAGATAGAGAGAGAGAGAGAGAAGTGCGCACATGGGCTTTAATATATTAGGATATCTAAGTCACAATCACAAACTGCAGTTAGTACAATAGTTTTGTGTATAAAATACTTTACCATGGTTTGTTTTGATTTCAAAACTTATTATTTTATTAATGAATAAAATTGTTTTTCCATCACAGGTTATTGAGTATCTCCTCCTAGTTGGCGCTGACATAAATTATAAAGATGCTGATGGTAGGACCACCCTGTATGTGATCGCATTAGATGGGAACCTTGAGATGACTCAGACTCTCCTGGCTAATGATGCAGATATTGAGGCTGTTGATAATGAAGGCAGAACTGCTCTACATGTGGCTGCATGGCAAGGAAATGTAGAAGTTGTTAGAGCTTTGGTCCAGCGAGGGGCAAGAGTAAACTCAGTGGACAATGATCGACGCACTGCTGTGCAATCTGCATCCTGGCAAGGTCATGAGCAAGTTGTCAAATTGTTGCTTGAAGCAGGAGCTCGAGTGGATCACACATGCAATCAAGGTGCGACAGCATTATGCATTGCTGCCCAGGAAGGGCATGAAGATGTAGTCAGAACATTGTTGAGTTTTCAAGCAAATCCCAACCATGCTGACCAGTTTGGGAGGACTCCTTATAGGGTAGCTTTAAAGAGCAATCATAATGTTGTTTGTAAAATATTGGAAGATTTTGGTGCCATTGTACCTGGAGGAGCTAAAAGTAGAAGTAACTCCTCAGCATCAAGTGGAGAGATAAAGCTGAACACTCCAATCTCAGCAACACAGGGGGCGATAACAGGATCAGCTCGAAGCTCCAGTACCCAAGGCATGGACATGACAACTGTAATCATGCCACCCTCTTCCAGCTCACCCCAGTCTTCAGATCACCTCAAATCTTATAACTCTAATCATTCCTCCTCCAAATCCTCTAGTATTAAGACATCTTCCACTAATCAAAGCAGTCAGAGCAGTTTTGCTAACATGTCTAGATTAGACAGAGAATGTTTAACCTTTACTCAACAGTTACAGCAATGCTCCATGGGTAAAAATAGGTCACGACCTATTAGCCGAGTTCTTTCACCAGTGAGTGAACCCCAGAGTCCCATCCACTCACCTTGTCATACACCAGTTCTACACAGTCAAGCAGCTCATGAGAGACTACAGCAAAGAAACATGAATATTCTCTCACCTTCTCCAGTCAAACAGGGCTCATGTAAGCCAGAGAGAATATCAGCAACAATAAATATCATAACAAACCCTCATGCTGAAATGATGAGTTCTGTTGAAGAGCCCATCTGGCAGAGAAATCCTTCCCATCCAATTAACTTTGCTTCAGCTACTAACAGCAGCAGTAGTAGCAGCAGTGGGTCCCAGCAGCACCACCACACTGTTTACCCATCCCCCACCTCAGATGCTTCCTCTAAACTCAGTGTAGGAGTTCCTGTTGGTAACAACAGCCCAGACATGAGAAGGAAAAGAAATGGTATTGTTACTAATCCAAAGCTTCTCAAGTCTGGAATATCAAAAAATACACCTTTCTATAATCATTTATCCTGTGATTCTGCTGCTGAAAAATGTAAGTATACCATACCAACATCTAATGACTTAAATAATATCTTACTTGCTAGTAGCAATGGTGCCCCTGCATCTATGAGTGTGGTGTCTCATACCTGTGATAAAGTGACACCTATCAAGCAGAACAGTGAAACAAAACCTGTCAGACCTAATGGACTACCTATTAAAATAGTTAATTCTACACAGTAACTCAATTACTTAAGCTGAAAATTGTGTGTCAACATGACAAATTTGGGTGAGTCAAAAGCCATCACTGTTTAATTACTTCATTACAAAACATTATCTGTAATGCCAGTTATGATTCTACATTTATGACGCATTCATAAGTTCACTAATATTGATGTAACTACCCTAAATTTGGCTTGTAAGTGTGATATTTAATGGTAAGATAAACCACTTGCCTACTGTTGTGCACATCAACTCCAGAAAAAGGTTAATGTAACTTTTTGAATATTAAAAGAGTTTAACTTCAATTGAGTGAAACAATTTTGACCAGCATTTGAGCTTCCTGCATCAATCAAAGGCCTAAATAAATGAAAACTGGTGTTCACAGAGGGATTAGAACTCCCCAAATGGACCCCCCCCCCCCCCCCCCCCCCCCCCCCCCCCACAAATTGTCTCAGATTAAGTTGCTCCACATTTTGCAGTAACAAAAGTTAATAAAACCACAAGTTGTGTGTGTACATAAATAATTAAATATATAGAAAAGTTGAATTCCTTCCCCAACTCTAAAATGCAGCCTGGATGTGAATTGAATGTTTTAATGTTAGAGATAACTTTAGTAGGCCTTTACATTTGCAATATTATTGAAATTGTATTATGAAACAGCATTAAATTGGTTTGGTAACCATATAAGTTGATAAGATCTGACTACCAACAAAAATTAAATATGCATATCTCATTATCTGTCTGCTTTTCATTCAATAATTGACTTTCAATTAGGAAATAGATATTTCCATTTCATGATAATTTTATGTTTGGAATCAGAACATGTATGTTCCTGAGCTTATAAGTTAAGTGAAAACATGTAAACTGTATAAAAAAACAACCAATTATTAGAGAGCTACTTTGATTTTTCAAGTTTTCCTTTATCACAAAAAATCTGTTCAAATTTCCATCGAGCACACCCTTAACTATTGTTGTACTTTAATAAAGGTGTTTCTACTTTTAAAATAATTTGATTCTTCATAGAATAACATCCAGTGATATTTCTAATTATTTTATCTGATTTATAACTTAACACTTAAAAATTAAATGTGTCCATAGCTGCAAAATATTATTTTTTTTTTTAGTTCTGAGTGAAATATTATACAATATACTTGTAATTATTTCAGCAGTCATCTTTTAAGTTTTTAGCTTTGAAATTCCCTGAGATGTTGACCAAAACTATTTATTTCATGTGCTAATAATGTGATTGTGTATATGTATAGAAATGGCATAGTTTATTCTGTAAATCAGTTTTATTTATGTCATGATTTAAATTAGCATTTGACTTTGCCAGTTTATATCTTGATTGTACCTAAAGTTATTGTACAGTAAAATTTGTGTTTAAAACAAAATAAACCAGTCTGGAAAAAAAAGCGGCTTTTTGAACTCCTTTATACAAATTTATGCTAATAAAATTGGCACTAGGCGCTCAATGAATTGTTTCGTTTCCTTTCATAGCTGCTTCAGTAAAATTAAAGTGTGAATTTGATTTATACAGTAAAATACTAGAAGACCAGTGGCATATGATAAGCCATATGGTTGGTATTTTATATATCTGAGTAATTTATTTAACTGTTTCAAAAGAAAAATGTTGAAAATGGAGATGCTTTTTTAGTTGCAGTTATAAAGAAAACTATGCAAAAAGTTCATCTGGACCAGTTCTCAATTTTCTTTCTTATAGATCATTCATTCATAAGGATGACAGATATATTGTATCATGATGATTGTTGCTGAAGAATATTGTAGGTGTACACTAAGACTAACATTAACAGGATACAAGTCATTAAAATGGTAGGTTGTAGCTAAAGCACTTGTGAGAGATTTGACAAGAGGCTGAACATTTATAAACATGTCATCCCTTCCTACCGAACATTTATAAACATGTCATCCCTTGCTACTGAACATTTATAAACATGTCATCCCTTGCTACTGAACATTTATAAACATGTTATCCCTTGCTACTGAACATTTATAAACATGTCATCCCTTGCTACTGAACATTTATAAACATGTTATCCCTTGCTACTGAACATTTATAAACATGTCATCCCTTGCTACTGAACATTTATAAACATGTCATCCCTTGCTACTGAACATTTATAAACATGTCATCCCTTGCTACTGAACATTTATAAACATGTCATCCCTTGCTACTGAACTAGAGGATGAAAATCAGTACACACACATTATCATGTGCCACAGAAACAATAGCTAAATGGATGGGAAAGGGGGGGGGGGGGCAGAACTTGTCCTACTGAAGGAGGTAATTTACAAGGAGGAAATAAGTTGGGGGAATGGGTAATTTCCTGAAGCCAATTATCATTACACAGCTAAGGAAGCATATATCCATAGACTGATCTTACCACCATTGCTAACACAGCTAAGGAAGCATATATCCATAGACTGATCTTACCACCATTGCTAAGGAAGCATATATCCATAGACTGATCTTACCACCATTGCTAACACAGCTAAGGAAGCATATATCCATAGACTGATCTTACCACCATTGCTAAAGATTAATTAGAAGACTATCTAGTTCTGACTTAGATTTTTTAAATGCAACTTTGAGTCTACATTTGTTTTGCACATAAGTCCAACCATTATGTTAATTACTTCAACCTCTTTGACTTGGGTATCTTAATGTCATTTAAGATACAAGTAAACCACATTGGCAAATTCAATTTCTAATCACTGGTCAGCAGCTATATTCACAAGGTATGAGAAAACAGTGCTATACCATGTTAATGTGGAGGCCCTGCTTTATGAAATTATCAGCGTCATAGTGCTTTTATTTTGTCTTTTAATACACTAAAAGTGTAAAAGAAAATGATAAAAAACAAAGTGAGTAATAACATAATAAAATTCAAGCAATGAAATCATACTCTATGATTATATGTTTATGTCTTGAGATAATGAAGTAGAAAAACCATTTTATCGTGACAATGGTGAATATTAATACTTGAGCTTGTTTGTATACACAGTTTTTGAGAACAGTTTGTTCATTTTTTCTTCAAATTATCAATAATTTATATTTTAAAAAATCTTTAAGATCTGCAGTTATCGTTTTTTAATTTAAAAGAGCTTTAATTAGCATTAGCAATAGAGTTGGTAATAAAGTTTAAGTGTGTACAATTTTTACAATGAACAGAAACAATAATTTACTTGATGCCTTTAAAAAAACATTTTGAAAATATATTTTAGAATAATTAATAAAGTGAACTTAATTGCAAATAAAATTACAAATTGTGTAGATCTAAATTGTAAAATGTTATAGCTTAAAAATGCATAGATATTCTAAACACATACATCTGAGTCAAATTTGTATGCAGAAAGAAGAGAGGCAGTGAATATGTATTTATATTCACTAATTAATTTAAGCTAAGTGGTTTTCTTTTGTAATGTTTTGTGGGCCTACTAATTAATGTTAGCCTAAAGTAAATTTAACACATGTAAATATTAATGTGTATTGGTTATTGCAAAGAACATGCTAAAAGGAAAAAAAATTGGATATTTTTTTTATTAAAACCGAATAGTATTGTGAAAGGTTATTTTTGTTGTATTTTAGTATTTCAAATATTGAAAATTTATTAGGACCATTATAACAATCTTTTAACATTTTTACCAACTCGATTGAAATAAAATGGAGAATCTCTTAATTTTCTATGTGTTATATATTAAAATGTAATGAATCTCACTGCCACATTTTTATCTTTGTCCAAGTGTTTTTTTTGTGTCTGTTATACTATTAGGTTATATAAAGGGTGGTGTGGATGTCAGCAGCCTGGTTTGATAAGAATCCATGGTTGATACAAATTGCTTTTAAAGTATTTCAAATGTATTCAAAAGAAACGAATTAATACCTTCACAAAACTGTGCACAACAGACTACTATCACCACAGCCTTTCACTCTTGTGCCCAGCTGAAAAGCGTAGAAGCTTATATAATAACAAGTTACTAGCTTCAAAATATTGGACAATTCTTCTCCAAATATTACGTTAAACAAATGACACAAATGAAAGAAAATGTAAAACTTGAGTCAAAATTAGGACTAATGCTATTGTAATAACTAAGTCAATTGAGCATCGTTACCTTCATTGGTTTTTAAAAAAAAAATGTAGCTAAAACATGTAGGCCTGTTACCTTTGATAAAATTAAAAAGCAGGAAATTTGGATTAAAGGTACCAGGCCCACAAATACATCTTTATGTAAAACTAGTTTATATTAAATATTGTTATGAAAAATATCATTTGTGACAAACATAGAACTTATTAATCAAATATATAATTTGCAACAATAAGTGTAATAATTCAAAATTATGTGTGGTATAATTCACTACTGAATAAAATAAGTTTATTTTGTATAAATTTATTTTATCCAGCAGAAAATAAAATGCAAATCCAATATGAAATTTTAAATATAAAAATGAAATGTACACAAAGGAAAAAAAGTAATTTTATAAAATTGATCCTTATTAAATATAAAACAATCCTGAATGTATTTCTTAATATCTAAAATTTTAAAATGCCAACAATCTCAGTTATTGTTTCAAAATGTTGAAAAATAAGCATCTTTATCAGTTTTCTGGTACATTACAAATTTGAGTAGTCTTGCATAACTAGAAATTTACAGCAATGGTTTACACATTTTACAATTTAAACTCAAAATAGTCAATCAATAATTATTGCATTTTAGTATTTGCTTTCAGCTGCACATTGTCTTATGTATTGTTCTGATATTCATCTGGGTCTGCTGACATCAGATTTTGATGTTCTGGAGCTGGAAGTGTGTCAGAATTCTAAAAGAAGAAAAAAATTTCATTTGAAATACAAGTCTAAACACAATTAAACAGCAAGATTTAATAGCTGTAATGTAGAAATGTGATCAAATGATCCAGGCAGTTACTTTAACATAAGAGATCAAGTAGTTCTCCCTGTGATAAACAAAGGCAGATGGTCATAGCAAATAGCAAGAAGAGGATGCTGCTGTCAAATGTTATTCTTTAATATGTCATGTATAAATAAATAAATAAATATATGTATATATATATATGTTACGGTCAAAGCCCGAAGTCAGCCAATGCTAGGATTGGCCGGCCAATCCGCGCATTGGCCAATATCGCCTCCCATAGGTCGGTCAAAGTCCGAAACTTTGCTTGATTTCGGGCTTTGGCCGGCCAATCCGCAGACTGGCCATGGTGGACCGGCCAAAGTCTTAATTAGAAGATCATCTGGCTAGGGACGACCGGCCAAAGTCCGAATTAGAAGATCATGAGCAGATTTTTTTTTTATGCCGTAAGGATCATGAAATTAAGTCTTTATTGATTATTAATTAAAGTAAATGACAGAAACATTCAATTTTTTTATTTTACTATAGTCTCAATCAACCAAAATTATCATTTGTTACAACATGTTGAACTTTTATGGCATTTATAATTACATAGCAGCTTGTTATTTTTACACTTGCAGCAATTTGTTGTGAACTTAGTTGTGCAATTGCAGCGAGTGTAGCCTTGGCCCCCAGTCAATGATTGTGAAGATGCGATGGTTCGTAGTGATTTTTCCTTAGTGCCAACTGACGACAATAAGAGCAGTTTTTCGTCAAGAATTGAAAACTCACTTATAGCATACAGTTGTTTTAGAACACCATGTTCCGTTCCTAATTTGTAGAAACCGCCCTCGACGTTCATGACAACTGCAATCACGCTTCGGGGATCACCGCGACCTCTGTGAACATCTGGAACACGGATGCGTACATTGTCACCCACTTCACCATCTTTAAATTTTGTATTTGATGTTTTAAGCATCTTAGCACCTTGAGTTTGCAAGCTAGTATGAGCTGCTGACCTGTGTTCCATGATGTCTTGATTGTTGTGACACAATCTGCAGGTAATGTTCCCTACGTACCCTTAGTCTGCTTTATTGGCTATTCCGCAAATAGCATGATCATCTTTGCCACAGGATCCACAAGAATGGGCTACATTACAATGTTTTTCACAAACCTCCATTTCTTGTTCAATGTTCTCAAGATCTTCCTCAGTAACTATTTTATCGAGAGCCTCTCTTGGTAGATTTTAAGTGCTAAGTCCCACTTTTGCTTTGCATCCAAACAAGGCTTTGTATGGCGATTGTCGGATTCCTTGATGAAAGTGAGCTGATTCATCTGTCTGCATCCATGTCATCATCATGTTTGAACATCTTAGTTGGCAGGTTCTATTGAACATTGGCTTTGGCTATGCCTGGTTTTCTGTGAACTAGTTTAAGTTCAGGCCACATGTTCTTTAGTTCAGAATTAACTTGATTCACAAATTCTTTTCCATTAGGATTTGGATTATTTATTTTGGCAGCCATCTGGTATGTCTGTCTCTTGATCTGACAGTCCTTTTGGTCTATATCGCATTGCATATATAATGCTATACAAACAAGAGCCAAACAATACGTTACTCACAATGAAGCCGCACCAAGAATAATGAAAACACGATCACAATTTAGTCTAGATAGAACATTGGCCAGGACATCCCGGCCAGTGCGCGCATTGGCCGGCCAATGTACAAAATACGCTGTCAAGTTTAAGCGCTTCGGACTTTGGCCAGTGCGTCCCGGCCAGTGCGCGCATTGGCCGGCCAATGTACGAAATACGCTCTTAGCGCTAAGTTCGGGCTTTGGCCAAGAGAGCCGGCCAATGCGCGCATTGGCCGGCCAATCCGGGGTTTGGCCGCACTTCGGGCTTTGACCGTAACATATATATATATATATATATATATATATATATATATATATATATATATATATATATACATATTATACATAATGAATTGCAAAATAGCACTTTCTGAATGAAAGCAGTGCAATACTTGTACTTATGATGAAGTTTTATCCATTTATCTTGTTTAAACAGCTGTTTAGTAATTTATTTTGATATAAGTATGTTTGTGTATATGTTGTAAAGCAACACAGACATCAATATTTATGAAAAGTAAGTATTGAAACATACTAGCCCATTTTCTCTTAATGGAGAACTGACTGGCAGTCTTCTTGATGTTGAACCAAAACACAATCTTCTAGGTGCTGCAGGAAATGTGTAACCTTTGTTCTCCTTCATTGCAAAAATAACTGAGTGTTAGAGAAATTACTTAGAATTTATTAAATACAAATGAACACATTTTATTTAAAAGAAGTTAATATCCACAAAGATTTTGATGTACTAAAATAAATATTAATGTACTGAAACAATGAGCGTTGTCAAAATATAAATCAACCATCTAGCATATTTTTACACCACTACTCTCCCCTCCATTGTGAATTAATCTTCAAGATCAACAGATATTTAAAGGAACTTAATAAAATTGTCTAGCACCTTTTTCCCATCTTTTTTGCTTTTCCTCAATTTTCTTTGTATAAAGTACTCCAATGAAGATGTTACCATAGAAAGAACTAAGCCTCCTATTAGAATATGAAAAATTCCTGAAACGTTGCTTAGCGTTAAAGCATTTTGTGTACCTGTGGACTCCTGGGGAAAAAAAACAATTAAAAAAAAATAATTATTTAAACTTATAAAAATGTTCAAGTATAATTGTGTTGAAATATTGATATTATCTGCCAATTGTAATCTAATAAATTAAGCTTAAATGAACTCTGTGTCTCTGTATGTATGTAAAATGTTTAAAGAAGACATAAATATAGAAAAAAATTAAAAACTTTTAGAGGCAGTGAGAATTATGTCACATGAATCTAAGAAGAAATGATCGCATTAAGTCAGAAGAAACAAAACTTATAAAGTTGAAACTTATGAAAAGTACACAAAAAAGGAATGATGTCAATAGTTGTAGATAAAAATAGCATTGCTAGTCAAGTCTCAAAAAGGATACACAATAATAATGACATCACTGATAATGGATAAGAAAGACACTAAAATTACCGCCAAATTTATTTGTCTAATATTAAACGTGTATGTACAAGAACCAAACGGCAAATAAGGGTAACAAAATAATGCAGAAGCAGAATTAATAACATAGTAAAAATTTAAAACATGAAAGCAAGTAGGTATAATCAAGACCAATTATGTCTTAAAATAGATTTAAAATGTCAAAAAGTAAACATTTTGTGTTGTATAGAAATCCAAACCCTTGAATGGATCGGGTTCATTTTTGCCACACTGGTGCATTATAAAACTGAAAGTGTTTGAGTTCACTTTCTGGAGTTCAGTGAAACTTCAAATTGTTTTTATTTTTTAAATATTTGTGTAGGCCATATAGGTGACCACATTTCTGCCATTTTTAGGTCTCATAATTTAAATACTTTGCTCTATGTTCAATGCCGGTGCTATTTAGTTTATTATTCATGGACTTCTGTATTTTGCAGCTCATATTCAACCTTATCTATCATGGAAAAGTTTGCTTAAAACCCAATGAATGTCTGGAATTTGAACTGTTCATTTAATTCATTATTTGTTTTAAAATGTATATTTGTATATATGCACATTTTAGCCATACTTTGGTCTTTGACAGTATATATATATATATATATATATATTTATTTATATATATATATATATATATATATATATATATATATATATATATATATATATATATATATATATATATATATATATATATATATATATTATTTACAAAATTACTAAAACTCAACCTTATAGGCCTATTATATGTTGTAGAACATACATTTTATATTTAAATTAATGTTTCATATTCCCCTAAGATATTAATTTCTTACTGATGTTAATATTAAGCAAAACCTTCAATATACATTCTACAGTTTTCTGCTGGGATTTAAAAGCTGCAATACCTTACTGACACTCTGATCTCCACATTGACCTTTATCATACCACCACTTTTGCGTCAGTTTTATTAGTTCACCCCTTTCCTTTAATGTCAGTACACCTATATTGATGTTGTGCCTGAAGAGACGGGTAAAATAAGTTGAAAACAAAAATGTATTATAATAATTAATAATCTTGGTGTCACTACAGACAACAAAAATCTGATTGTAAATAAAATAAAAGGTAAAAATAGAATTTGAAAACAGTACCAACATGAAAAGATGATTTTGTAACTTTTACTATAGTTAGTGTGTTAACAAAACTAGCTTGGAAGTATGTTAGAAATGTAGCTTGAAAGTGTTCTAAAAAAGTAGCTTGGAAGTGTTTTAAAAATGTAGTTTGGAATTGTTCTCAAATGTAGCATAAAAGATTGCTAAAAATATAGCATGGAAGTGTGCTAAAAAGGCAGCTTAGAAGTGTGCTGAAAATGTAGCTTGGAAGTGTGCTAAAATGTAGCTTGAAAGTGTGTTAAAATGTAGCTTGGAAGTGTGTTAAAATGTAGCTTGGAAATGAGTTAAAAATGTAGCTTGGAAGTGTACTAAAATGTAGCTTGGAAGATTGCTAAAAATGTAACTTGCTTGGAAGTGTGCTAAAATGTAGCTTGGAAGTGTGTTAAAAAGGTAGCTTGGAAGTGTACTAAAATGTAACTTAGAAGTTTGTTAAAAATATAGCATGGAAGTGTGTTAAAAAGGTAGTTTGGAAGTGTACTAAAATGTAGCTTGGAAGATTGCTAAAAATGTAACTTGGAAGTGTGCTAAAATGTAGCTTGGAAGTGTGTTAAAAAGGTAGCTTGGAAGTGTGTTAAAAAGGTAGCATGGAAGTGTACTAAAATGTAATTTAGAAGTTTGTTAAAAATATAGCATGGAAGTGGGTTAAAAATGTAGCTTGGAAAATGTACCTGAGATGATAGTTAACTCTGGTAGCTACACCATATCCTTTATTATCCAATCTGTCACCAACCATCATGGTATCACATGGTTCCTGCTGGCTATAATATGTATTCATGGCAGACTCCAAAAGGAAAGCGTACGTGCCTTTGGACTCTCGCACCTGAAATATATTAGACAAAGTATTGTCACAGGCTGACAAAATTAGAAGTCACTGTGATTTGCCAGCAACAATTAGGATGGATTTCCATCAAAACATGAGTAGCATGAGATTTTAAAAATTTTTTTTACAAATATTTGATTTTGAAAATATTAAAATTATTTTAATAAATTTTTTTTGGTGTGATCTACAATGTGAAGTAAATATTACCCTGTAGAAAACTATTATTAAGCATGAATACACTTGCAATTAATGCACTAGTATACCACTATGCTTGTGATGATAAAAACAAGTTTTTTTTCCATCATCTTGTTAAGAATATTAATGTATTTTTACATGACAAAACCAATTTGAAAATTAAAAGTTTAATTTATATTTCTTTACAACTGTAAGAAACTTTTGCATTGTGGTCTGTTCACTAATGGCTTAAGTTTATAGTTGTAATTTAAAACTGGATCAGTCAAGAAAAAAAACGAAAAAAAAAATGTGTTTTTTAAATTAATATTCTCCTAGAAATAGAAACTTTGCATTAGGGCAGGGGTCGGCAACCTGCGGCTCGCGAGCAGCATGCGGCTCTTTTGATATCAAGATGCGGCTCTCCAGCTCCTTGAACAAATACTAATAATCTTAATAAAAAAATAAAATATTTGAAATAAAAAAAAATTGTTAGTGGCTCTTTAAAACCATGGAAATTTTGAAAATTGTAACTTTTGGCTCTTCCGCTTCAAAAGGTTGCCGACCCCTGCATTAGGGCCAACAAGCAACATTAAAAAATTATAACTTATCATACATCAATTGAAAAAATGGTTTAGTTGAACAGAGTGTAGGCTTTGCATAAACTTCAATTTGACTTCTTGTATAACATATAATTAAATTGTGAGATAAACAAAAGCAATTTTATTGCTTGTTAATAAATATTGTACACAAATGACAGGTGTGTAATTTTGTAGTAGCTCTAAATATTTACTTTTTGCACCCCTTCCTTATACTCTGTACATAAGACTTCATCACCACGTTGCTCCATTTCCTCTTTCATTCTTTTGAATGTATCAATGGTTGATTTCTGATAAATATAAAAAAAAAAGAAATTCTACCTTCTAAATTTAGAGAATAAATTAACAAAAGAACAATAATAGGATTGAATGTCGTGTGATCTTACATTTCATCATTAAATGTAAAATAAATTAGTTTTACTTTTAGTATTTTACACCTTCGATATTAATAAAGATTTTCAGTGCTAACATATAGACCAAATAGTTGTGGATTTGCAGAATATCTTAAAAAAACTAACTTCAAAAAATTTCCAAGATGTTCCAGTTTTTTTGGTTCCATATTTGATAGTTGGATGACCAACAAGGTCATCAGCAGAATTGATGGAAACAACCAGTTTTTCAATGGTTAAGAATGCAGCAAGGTTAGCAGTATAAGAAGATATGATTATCAGTGTAAAGAACCACCAGGCTGATCCAATAACTCGACCAGAAAAAGATCTATAGTTCAACATAAACATTTTGACCATGAATAAACAATAGTAATTTTTTAATATCATAAATCATAATAAATTTTTCAACTTATTTTATTATATATTATAATACAATAAAGTTGGAAGAAAATTGTAAGCAATGCACCCAGAAACTGTTATATACCCAAGATTGTAATATTTTCAATAGCTGAAAAAGAAAATGTTGATTTCATAATACATCAATGACCCAAAAAATTAGATCCTACTCTTTATGAGCACAGCATAATAAATCCATTTAACATTTAATTACATTTTTTTTATTCTTCATAAATTGAAATTAGATTTTAATGTTATCAGGCTTTAAATGGATGCATTACTATGTGCTGCAGCAGGTATGCGACCATTTACTGACCCTTCTTGCTATAAACATTACAACACTTTTAAAAAGCATTAAATAATTCTTAATATAATACTTTTTAAATTAACATTTTAATAAATATTTTAACCATCCTAAATAAACAATACAATTATATTTAAATTAGGCTATACCCCCATGTGGTATCTGGAAATTGTATTGTTACTTAAAAAAACAAGTGTTACTTTAATAGATTATTCAATGATTTTCTTTAATGTACCTAACTTTCTGAATTATTTGCATTGTTTTATATCCTACAACATTTTCAAAGACAAGTATACTAGCATTTAATAATGTCCATTTTTTAGAAAATAAAAGCTTTCAAAAATCAAGAAAATAAACACATCTAATGTTTACAGCAAATTCAAAGATATCTTATTGTAAGTATTTTGATTTACATTAAAATTAGATTTGAATACTAGAAACAAATTATCTTATTTAATAAAATAATCTTAGCATATGTATTGCAATAATATTTTAAAAATTTAAAGATTTGAAACATATATTGATTATGTACATCTAGCTTATTAGTTGCCATTTTAAGCATAGAAATTAAACAAATACTAGAAAATGTAAGATTCTAATTGAGCCTATACAGTTTATATTATTAAAAGTATTGTGATTTGTTATCAAGCTGCTACATTTCAAAATGTTTAATTCGTTCCTTAGCTAATTTATATTTTTCTAATACATAAAAATAAAACAATCTACAAAATCACAACATTTAAGCTACAGGTTAAGCTCTGTTTAGCACTTACCAGTTGAATATTTAGTAACTTTTATAATCTAAGTGACTTATCAAAAGCACTTTAAAAAAATCCTTACACAGTAGCATATGCACATTATTCTTCCCTTTAGTTTTGCATGTTATCTTTTAGAAATTATTGCTGATGTACTTAAAATCAATAATATTTAATAAAATAAAAGCATTGTAAATAATTAGATACAAAAATATAAGAATTGTGTATTTTTTATACTTTGCTATTTAAAGAAATATTTATTAGCCATAAACTAAACCACATAGTGTCAAGACATGTTGGAAAGGGTGACCGGAAAGATGTGCTATGGAAAACCAGGGGCGTAGCGCGGGGGGAGCGGACCGCACCGGGGGACACCATTTAAGGGGGGTGACACCAAGGCAAAAAATAGCAAAATATATAGAGAAAAACTTGAAGGGGGGGGGGGGTGCAAATCGAAAGTTTGAGGGGGGGGGGGTGCAAATCGAAAGTTTTAGGGGGAGGGTTGCAAATCGAAAACTTGAAAGTTTGTCCCCGGTAAGGGTCGCTACGTCTCCGGAGATGACACCATTAAGTGCCGCACCGGGTGACACCATTAAGTGCCGACCTCGCTACGCCACTGTGGAAAACTACTGCGCAACGGAAAACTGCACACAAAAAGTGCACAAGGGTATTTTTGTTTTCTTAAATTGAGCATTTATAGACATTGACAAATAATTGTAGTATAATGAAGCACTTTTCCAAGAAACATGAAATATTAATGAGTATTAGTATGATTAGTTTGTTTTTGCACAGTTTTCCATAGCAACATTTACAAAAAACTATGAAATGTATGTTTCAACCAATAAAGTCAGTCAGAAAACGTTATGGATATTTGTTCATTGATTTCATTCATTTTCCCAAAGTAAATAAATAGATTTTTATTGCTTAATTCTTACTGTTATTTATTTTAAGATGAAACTTTTGTTTGTGATAGGAACATCAATCTTAAGCATTGAAATATAATTATATAACAACATAAAACAAGAAGGGTCATTTGTTTCGCTTCATTATGGGTCCAACCTTGGGGATATATCAGAGCCCTGCTGCATTAATGCACCAAGAGAAAACCAGAGTGTGTTTGATATGGAAAACACTGTTGTTGCTGTTCTGTCTGTTGAGTCTTCGGATACATTCCATTCAAATGGGCTGGAAAATTGTATTAAAAATTAAGTGTTAAAGTTATTGATATTTATATTCTTATATATATATATAGGAAAGAATGAACATGGTTAGTGAATAAAACCTAAGGGGTAATATAAACTAATTTCTGTTAAACTCTTCATTATACTTTTACTAACAACTTGATTTCACTTTCTTATTTGTTAAAAATTGTGAATAAACTATAATGACACAGTTAAAAATTTTATGCAATGAAATACATCAAAATTTAAAAAAAGAAAGTTTCTAGTTTTGAATTTTTAAAAAAGAACAAACTTGTTAATTCAAATTTGAATTAAATTAAGTTTTGATATTGTAATTTTTGCCTTTTTGTTAGTCATATTTACTTTCAGTTCAATCTTTTGTATATTAAAAAGAAGCATTAAATGCATCAAGCTAACATAGTTAATTAAAAGAAAACTACTCATATTAGGCATTAAAATGCATGTTTTAAAATTTTAATTAATAAAAATCTCTACAAATTCCAAGTTTGCTATAAAAACAGTGGAGGTTGAATGCCTATTGAAATAAATATTTATTTCAACCTATGTAAACAGCTATTTCTATATTATTTTGTACTAGTGCTAGAAAACATTCGAATATATCTTTCAAGCCTACCTGAATCTTCCAACAAAATAAAGAACAAAACTGACGGTCAAAAACCCAATGGCAATGCAGAGCCAAACTCTGGTATCAAGTGGATCCATGAATGAAAAAACTCCAGGTTTTGTTTTATCTGGTTTTTTAATCATAATTGAGATGCCTGTATCCATGAAAGGTTTAGAAAAATCAACTACCCTCTCTCTGTCTTCTGTTATGGTTAAAGGTGCCACTGCAATATCTCGTTCCTGAATAAGAATTTAATAACAAGAATGTTTGTAAAGTTATTAAAACTGCTAACACTGACAAACTAAGAAGATGCTTTAATTTTAACATTGCAGGCCTACTACTTTTACTTTTTTGACGTTTAGATATAAATACAGGTTGTTTATAGATCTATTTCTTTTATCACGTAAATTTTTAAAAAAGAATGCAGCTCAAAACACAAAGAAGAAAGAGGTTTTCCCCTAAAAATATATTTTTATTTTTATGGATTCATAGTGTGGTGATTTTATAATTGGGGGGGGGGGGGGGGTTATTTACATGTAACAGTAATGAACAACATTATCAACATCAAAATACTGACTTTTATGCAATGGTCTTATTTTGTACCTTATTTATGAGCTGCCCTATTACTCCATTCCATGTTCCATCTGTACTGTTTTTGTCACCATAGTCTTTAGTAACATAAATTGTGTATTCAAAAGGTTCATTGCGTGCTAGTGCTTCAATCAAATCAATGCAATAACCCTCAAGATTGCTGGCAGATCCAACTGGAATGGTACCATCATAAGGCTTCTTGTCCTTGTACATAACAAATGGAGGCTCCTAGTTTTCAAGGAAAAATTGTCTTCATTAGGTTATATTAGTGTGGGTGAAAGTTTGATAAGTTTGTTGTTATGAATGAGGTAGAAAAGATTGAAGATTTGATATGTAGTGAGTTTTCTTTATTCAACATATACATCAAATTAGAGTATATAAACATGAATCATTTATAATTTTTTTGGAACCATACATACGAAAGATTAGACTTGCAACCTATAATAATAGCTTTAAAGTACTTCAAATCAAAACAAATAATTAACAATAAAATTTCCTCAATTTAGAAAAAGTAAGTGATTATGAATATGATTAGACATTTCAAAATGCAAATTTATTTCACAGCAACTATAAAGCAGCTTATAAAAAATTAAGTTAAGGGGCACATCCATGTTTTTGGCAAGCAAGGCAACACATTTATAACACGTTATATAAATAAATAAATAAATAAATATATATATATATATATATATATATATATATATATATATATATATATATATATATATATATATATATAAAACTATTCAATTAAAAAGTTTAATAAATATGCCAGTGGAGGTAATTTAAAAAGAAATTCAACTCACACTAAATATTGCGCATTGATTATTATATTATTTACTTTGTGATAAATTTTTTTCTTACAAAAACATGATTCACTGTTATTATTTGATGATTGTTAGATTCTTGCAACAACTTCTTGCACATTAGCTCATCTCACCACTCTAGAGTGTGAGAATACCTTATTATCTCCCTTTTATTAGGTCAATATTATAATCTATAAATCTATTGTAATGATTAATTAAATATCTAATTAAATTGAAATTCAGATATTTTTTATTTTAACACTGGAGAATAGCATGTATGTATACATTTTTTTTTAAAGCAATAAGTCAAAACATGACCTACTTCTAACCCACGAATGGAATATGTGACCAAAGCATAAATGTTTGAGAAAGATTTTAGAACTTACCACAACTGTAACCACTCTCTGTGTTTTATTTTCAATAGCAATTTCAGGTACAAACGTTTTAAATGAGCCATCTATTAAATCTTTGGACTTCCATGTGGCATGCTGTAATTATTGATTAATGGAAGTTACTTTTTTACACAAACTTTACACAAAATCTTTGGACTTCCATGTGGCATGCTGTAATTATTGATTAATGGAAGTTACTTTTTTACACAAACTTTACACAAAATCTTTTCTATGGAAAATAACTTACAGACGATCATTGAACAACCCACCTTTTTCATTTGTTCTTTGAAACGCAGCTTATAAACATCAACATTGTAATCAGAACGCAATCCTTTTTTCAATTTGACTGGTCCAGAGAGTCCTTGAAACTCTACCTAGAGTGATAAATAGCTAATTTTGTTTACTTAATAACCAAACGTACAATCTCTTGAAGAAATTGTTGAGACCATATTTAAAATGTATAGGAAAAGGCTCTGTTAAAAATAACTGTGTTTTTTGTTTTATTCATTTGTGTGACCATACTTAAATAGATGTTTTATACATTCTGCTAGGATATATTTATGCATTAAATTAACTGATGCATTGTTTAAAATATTGGTCAATAATTTTGTAAAATCAAATGCCAAGAGTTTACATTTTTTTTCAAAAATAAAAGAATCTGCCCAGAGGTCTATACAATCAAATTAAATGATATAGAGCAACAAAAAGCTACTTTTTGGATATCTCAATTTAACTTATTTGCATCATCTAAATAAGTTAAGTCTACAGTGAATAGTCTGTTTCTTGAGATGTAGGCTTATTTGAATATAATTTTGTATTAGGATTCAGTAATTTTCGTTCAGATAAAAATACTTTTAATTGCACTTTTTTCAATTTCAGAATAACATTTCAAAAATTAAAAAAAAACAATATAAATTACCATTAGGTTTATAAAAAATTGTCTTCATCATAGCTTTTAAAATATATGATGAAATGTAAATAAATGCAAAATAAGAGTTTTAGTAATAAGGATTTGAGGCTACTTCTTGTGGCAAAAAGATATTAACAGTTCTTTAACTGAATTTTGTAAAGTATACAGAAATAATTAGATATAAAAATAAATATGACCTTTTTTAAAGCATCCATGATTGTTTGTCCCACGTAAGATGGCTTAGGCTGTTTCATATCACAACTGTCTAGAGCCACATCTCTGGTTACATCAAGTCTTGACATTAAAGCTTGATACAGAGCTCTGACAGCATCCATCATTAAAGCTGACCCAGTCTGAACAAAGTATTGTCATTTGTGTTCAACCCTTTCATTTACACCAGGGGTCTCCAAAATTTTCAGCCCAAGGGCCGCACTAACTATCAAATATAAGTTCGGGGCCATAGTTTCTTCCAGGCATCTGTTCGACTACTCCCCCCCACCCAACAGAATTTAATTTATTTAGAAATATATATATATATATATATATATATATATATATATATATATATATATATATATATATATATATATATATATATATATATATATATATATATATATATATATGCCAAGTTCATTAAAAGATATTGAAACAAGTCTGTTATTAGGAATAGAAGTAGATCTGGGTTAAAAAAAAAATTTTTTTATTCATAAAGTCCCACTTTAAAACTAAATAATGATGACTTGTTATCTGCCTGTTTTTATAGTGCGCACAAGTGTGATCGCTTAATGCTAAATTTCAATGCTAAAGGCATTAGACATTGAATCTTTTTATTAAAACATGTTCGGGATTTAAAATAAAGAAACAATAAGTAATTATAAAAATATTGTTTAGTAGAAAAGTTATACATTTTGAAAGTATGTGCTCAAAATGTCAAGATTTGTAAAATCTAAATTTAAGTTACATTTTGTGACTGAGTGCAAGTGATTAACTTACTATGTTTCAACGCATTCAAATGATCTTAAAATGCAGAACATGTCAATGTTTTCGCTTGCAGAGGGAAAAAACAACTTAGTCCAGAACACAAAAAGGGGTATGGTTTTGTGCCCTGTGACACAGATGATGTTCTGTATACCCATAACATGTTTAGTACACATTTAAGTAGGTCAGGTCTAGTATACATATCGCATGTGTAAACTCAGTGTAGGATGTCAGGGGACGACCTACTGCCTGGGTCAGGGGACGACCTACTGCCTGGGTCAGGGGACGACCTGCTGCCTGGGTCAGGGGACGACCTACTGCCTGGGTCGACCTACTGCCTGGGTCAGGGGACGACCTACTGCCTGGGTCAGGGGACGACCTACTGCCTGGGTCAGGGGACGACCTACTGCCTGGGTCAGGGGACGACCTGCTGCCTGGGTCAGGGGACGACCTACTGCCTGGGTCGACCTACTGCCTGGGTCAGGGGACGAACTACTGCCTGGGTCAGGGGACGACCTACTGCCTGGGTCAGGGGACGACCTACTGCCTGGGTCAGGGGACGACCTACTGTCTGGGTCAGGGGACGACCTACTGCCTGGGTCAGGGGACGACCTACTGCCTGGGCCAGGGGACGACCTACTGCCTGGGTCATGAACTCTTTATTAAGACCATTAAGGACAGACAGTTGCTATTTAATTAAGTCATCTAATTTTGAGTTATACAACTGTTTCTTTAAATAAATACAATTCTCTAAATAATAACAGAACCTTGAGTGGAAAGAGACTTGGAAAATCTTCTTTATGATTCAGCCACAGTTGTTGCCAAGATAGGTATGCCTCGCTCAAGTTATTTACAAACTTGAATGCTGTGATTTCTACACCCCCGTATATAAACTGGGAGAAGAAATCACGATCCAGATTTAAATCCATTGCATCCTGGTTTAAAAGTGAAAAGAGTAGTAAAAAAGAAAATTTTAACCTTCAATATAAAAAAAATAAAAGTAAAAATTTCTAACAAAAATTGTAACAATTGTATCCACTTACTGCCCCTGCCAAAATGTAATGGTATCCTTCTCTGTTCATGCCAACATCTATAATCTGCACATGAAAATTTGTCAAAGTTAATTGCAAGAATAAACAGTACCCTAAAGAGTTTGGTTAGCTGAATAGTTCATCATAAGTCGTAATTTATAACTCTACGACTACATCAATTATTACCAGAGTTGTGTTTTTCTACATGACTTCGTTATTTTCATTTTAAACAATATTAGTTTCAACAGTCAGACAGACGATGAAATTTATTCCATCATTACAGTATCAAACATTGTAAATTGTAGTCAGTGTAAAGCGGTGAAAACTGTCAAAATTCCGTGTAATTTTTGTGCACGATTACAATACTTCCTCTATACTCTGTATACGAGAAAGTAAAAATTACTTTTTTTTGTTGAAGACACAGAGAGCGGTAAATTACTTAATTTTGAAAAATCTGGAAAAAAATATCGTGATGAAACCAATGCTACTGTTAACATGAAACACTTCGGCATCAGTGTTTCTTCCAGACTTTTTTCTCCGGGGGGGCACTTGAAATCTTCGGGGGGGCGGTAAACTTTCTTCGGGGGGGCGGACACTGTTAAAAGTATATATTTTCTATATAAATTATATAAATTTCATTTCGTTCGGGGGGGCGGTAAAAAATTTTCGGGGGGGCTTCGCCCCCCCGAAGAGATGCCTGGAAGAAACTCTGTTCGGCATTACTATGAAAAAATGAAGGATGTTTTCGCTGAGAGTTTGGAGCAATTGAAAACAGATGGCGTTTATAGTAGATCATCTCAACATAAAAACAAATGAGATCAACATTGAGCCATTTGGAATTGATGCTAGTTCGCTTTAAATGCAATTGCTGTATTTAAAAACCAAAGACTTGTGGAACTTAAGAGCAAGTTGCAAGAGTTGGAGGCTAAGAAAAGCATGCAAGTTACACTTTACAAGTACACAGCTCTAAAAGAAATGCCGCGAGTTGAGGAACTATTATATGACAGCATAGAACAGTTTTACAGAATGCTAATGTAAGGTGGAGAAGTTGACATTTGGAATGCTGACGATCTTTAGGTCAACATATTCGTGCTAACAAAAGTTCTCTTACATGAATATAATAAAAAGTAAAGTAAGAAGCCAACAAACAAAAACAAATCTAGAGGCGTGCTTGAAACTGAAAACACGTTATGAGCCAGATTTAAACAAATTTTCATAAGTCATGCAAGGCCAATGCTCCCATTGATGTAACTAATGTAAATATTCAGTTATTATAGTTATATTATTTGATTACTAAGTGTATTATTTTAGCAGAGACAGCTAAAATACTTTAATACGTTTTGTGCGAAACATGTGTAATTTTTATATGAATAAATATTATTTCATATTTATATGAAATAATATTTATTTAAATTATATATACAAATATATATATATATATATATATATATATATATATATATATATATATATATATATATATATATATATATATATATATATATATATATATATTCGGAGCTTCACTTTCTTGTCTAGCTATAAGTATAAACTACCAAACTGGGAAGAAGTGAAAAAAATTCATTTTGTGTTTTTTTTAAAAGACTTTTATTTAAATATTCATCCAACAATACTGAAAAGACAAAAACGATTTGAGAAAAAAAATGAAGTAAATCTAAGTCAGTGTTTCTTCCAGACTTGTTTCTCCGGGGGTGCACTTGAAATTTTCGGGGTGGGGGGGTGGACAACAATTTTCGGGGGGGGGGCGGACACTGTCAAAAGTATATATTTTCTATATAAATTCTATTTCGTTCGGGGGGAGGGGGGCGGTAAGATGCCTGGAAGAAACTCTGATCTAAGTCTGTCGTATTAGATTGATCTGCAGCAGAAGCCCACTTCAGAAACAACTCAAACTAATGATAAATTACCATTACAAATATGGGTCTGATCCCTTAGCATATCTAAAATGGAAAATATGGGCAGACTCATTAGCTCCAATTTAGCACACGATCTTCTTTAAAAAAGCTTTTGTTTGGAATTGGTTAGCTTGTGGCCTTTTAGATGAATAAAAGCTTCCATTTCTACATTTCAAGCTTGCTATATTCGTTTAATCCAGGATTGTCCGACCCGAGGTCTTGCCACGGGCGTGTCATAAATAACTTCAGGTTGATTTTTTTTGCTGGTTAATATTTTAGGGGGGGGGGGGGGGTCTGTCGTCCATACATTACTTGATCTTTTCGGGAGTAGTCTGTTCATTACCTCAGGTTTATGGAGGGGAGGGTTGTCGATACATTTTAGTTAATGGTTATTATTTATAATTTTTAATAACCGACCTTTTTCTTTGAGATTATATTACAACAACAGTGTTTTATTAAACTTGTTAGATTTCCTTCATGAATCAAGTAAAGAAATGGAATTTTTAAAATTATGTCATAATTTATTTTAATCGTATGTTGTGTTAATTTACTATGTATGAAATAGAAAACTTTAATAAAATTATTGTTGTTATTAAATATTGATAACGACAATAAAAGTATTACACAAGGTGAAATAATATAAACAAATTAAAAAAAATCTATAATAACAAGCTTTTAATTGCCCCTGAAAATAAGAACATAAAAGAAACTTGCTTTCTATAATAAAATCTTTGCTCGCTCTCGCTCATGAGATCTCTTACATATTTTAGCCACCAAAGTTCGCTTTGATTTCTTATTTACAGTGCATGTTATTGTACAGGTTTTTTTTGTTTTATTTTCCACTTAGTCATTATTTGGAAACGAAGGTGACTAAAAAAAGCTATGACTTAAAATATGTGCGTTAAATAAAACCCAACTAGAAGCTTGGGATCTATAAAAGAGAGTTATCTACCCTACCTAGTTGGTGGGCAACAAGGCGAAAAATCAGCCAACCGTGACAGTTGACGGTTAGCTGATGGCGTGATTGGTTAATACAAATAATACATCTAGACATTTTAAAGTTAGATTTAATTATTAATGTTCTATCTAATTAGATTTTTAAAAATTGATGTTCATGCATTCTCATCCAAGAAGAATGTATCTGGAGAGTTTAAACAAAAAGTGACGAAATCGCTAGATCAAAAGTTGGTCGAAAATGAGTTAGAAGATGTGCTGTAAACCCAGAATAAAAGCTTGAAAAATAAAATAGAAAACTTCTAACTTGGTCGTTCAATGATGAGGTATATCTTTAATTTGACGTTTAGAGTTATGACCCCTGTCCAGAGGCGTAGCGAAGGGGGGGGGGGGGGCAGGGGGGTACATATGTCCCCGGGCGCCGACCTTAGGGGGCGCCAAAATGGGTTGGAAAAACAAATTAAAATCTCATTTTAGCTGCTTTTTTGCTTTATATTTATAAAAAAATATATGAGGGGGGGGGGTGCAAGTAGAAAGTTTGAGGGGGGGGGGGTGCAAATAGAAAGTATGAGAGGGGGTGGTGCAAATCGAAAACTGAGAGGTTGATCCCGAGGGGGGCGCCAAATTGAAAGTTTGTCCCCGGGCGCCGGGAAGGGTCGCTACGCCTCTTCCCCTGTCACAAGAAACTTGTTACCTGTTCTAGCACCTGCTTGTAAGCAGCAGTTGTTGAAAGGTCAAGGACTATAGCCTTTTCCTCAACTTGTTTGCTGTCCAGGCTACGCAACAATGAGTAGGCTCTGCTGACGTCACGTATACGGAATGCATCGACAATTCGAGGGGTAACATCTTTCATCTGGAAGAACTGGTACATTTTCTGCAGCCGCCAAAGACCTGTCAACATTCAACAGTTGTTTACATCATTGAAATATTTCAAGTAGATGGGGTATATGTCTACAGGCAATGCTTTGGTGCTTTGGTCGTTTGACGTAGGAATGTCACCCAGAGCTTAGCCTGCTGTATTGTTGTTATTAAATATTGATACTATTGACAATAAGTGACGTGCTAGTGAAACAATATAAACAAATACAAAATATTTATAATTGGAAAACTTCTTCTTCTTATTCTTCGTTCTTAATTATTTGTGATGAAGGGGATCGAGATTTATCTGCCAGTGGGTTTGAACTCGTGACTTTGTTCGAATATATCAACCATGAGCTTTTTGCCGACTCGATCACGCCTCCAACACAATTAAGCGTTACGTGTCAACTGGTTATGCGCCATTGAGGCCATTGACTCCGATTTCAGCCTGCTTTTCTTTTCGGATTTGCTTCCATAGCCTTTGTCCAACCAAGAACAAACTATAAGGCAGCAGTTGTTTAATTTTGGAGTTGTCTCTCCTAGAAGAGTAGCTGTCCCCAGCTAACGAGCCTCATCTGCCCGAGGGTTCGAACTCGAGACTTTTCGGTTTAGCAACCATGAGCTTTACCGACTCGACAACGCCGAAAACGATATAAATGTTTTTTAATGTTTTATTGTCGCTCCTACTGGGACCAAATGTTTTCCGCAACAGCCCAATAATTTAAAGTATCGATTGCCGTTACTTTCCAAATATTTTCTGTATTCCGCAACAGCCCAATAATTTAAAGTATCGATTGCCGTTACTTTCCAAATATTTTCTGTATTCCGCAACAGCCCAATAATTTAAAGTATCGATTGCCGTTACTTTCCAAATATTTTCTGTATTCCGCAACAGCCCAATAATTTAAAGTATCGATTGCCGTTACTTTCCAAATGTTTTCTGTATTCCACAAGAGCCCAATAATTTAAAGTATCGATTGCCGTTACTTTCCAAATGTTCTAATATAGACTTGAAGACTTGAACCGTATCAACCTTTCGTGAGTTCTCCAGCCTCCATTAGATTTAGGCTACGTTTTTGTAACATTCAAGAGTCTGGATCTTTGCTGCTTTGTCCTTACCGGTTGGATGTGTGCTAGCAATAAAAGGTTTAACAAGTCACATGATCACAAGAGTTATCATGTCTTCTAGCAATAAAAGGTTTAAAAAGTCACATGATCACAAGAGTTACCATGTCTTCTAGCAATAAAAGGTTTAAAAAGTCACATGATCACAAGAGTTATCATGTCTTCTAGCAATAAAAGGTTTAAAAAGTCACATGATCACAAGAGTTATCATTTCTTCTAGCAATAAAAGGTTTAACAAGTCACATGATGACAAGAGTTATCATGTCTTCTAGCAATAAAAGGTTTAAAAATTCACATGATCACAAGAGTTATCTGCTGTACAGCCGGGATCATGCGGTGTTGTCTGGCCTTGTTTAAACAAATCAAGGGAACAATTCAGTGTTGCTTTTCATACATCTATATTATACATCCATATTATACAGATGTATTACCCAGATGTTTATAACTTTCTCAAAAGATTTATCTAATTTCCCAAGCTCTTATAAAAAATAGGCACACAATAATTACATGATTATGGTTGGAATGTAGTGGTTGGAATGGATGGAATGTAGTGGTTGGTTTAGCAACTTACCATCATCACTGTCGTAGACATAAAACAGTCTGTTTTCTCTGAGGGTCAAGTTGGCTACAACTTTCATGACAGCATCAATATAGGGTGGGCAAATACTCAGGTCAAAGTTGGACCCTACCATGGAGCTTGGACGCGACGGTGTGGCTAGAATGTAGGGCATCTGTAGAGCCTGGCAGTAGGTGCGTATTGTGTTAAAGCTGGAGGCTCGACTGGTGCCCACGATCACGTACACCCCATCGTTGACCAGGCCACAAACTGGAAGTAAGACACCAAAAACAATACAGCGAGAGATGCAACACTGAGGACAAACACGGTGTAGATAGCATACAAACTGGAAGTAAGACACAAAACAATACAGCGAGAGATGCGACACTGAGGTTGACCAGGCCACAAACTGGAAGTAAGACACAAAACAATACAGCGAGAGATGCGACACTGAGGTTGACCAGGCCACAAACTGGAAGTAAGACACAAAACAATACAGCGAGAGATGCAACACTGAGGACAAACACGGTGTAGATAACATACAAACTGGAAGTAAGACACAAAACAATACAGCGAGAGATGCAACACTGAGGACAAACACGGTGTAGATAGCATACAAACTGGAAGTAAGACACAAAACAATACAGCGAGAGATGCGACACTGAGGTTGACCAGGCCACAAACTGGAAGTAAGACACAAAACAATACAGCGAGAGATGCGACACTGAGGTTGACCAGGCCACAAACTGGAAGTAAGACATAAAAAAATACAGCGAGAGATGCGACACTGAGGTTGACCAGGCCACAAACTGGAAGTAAGACACAAAACAATACAGCGAGAGATGCGACACTGAGGTTGACCAGGCCACAAACTGGAAGTAAGACACAAAACAATACAGCGAGAGATGCGACACTGAGGTTGACCAGGCCACAAACTGGAAGTAAGACACAAAACAATACAGCGAGAGATGCGACACTGAGGTTGACCAGGCCACAAACTGGAAGTAAGACACAAAACAATACAGCGAGAGATGCGACACTGAGGTTGACCAGGCCACAAACTGGAAGTAAGACATAAAAAAATACAGCGAGAGATGCGACACTGAGGTTGACCAGGCCACAAACTGGAAGTAAGACACAAAACAATACAGCGAGAGATGCGACACTGAGGTTGACCAGGCCACAAACTGGAAGTAAGACACAAAACAATACAGCGAGAGATGCGACACTGAGGTTGACCAGGCCACAAACTGGAAGTAAGACACAAAACAATACAGCGAGAGATGCGACACTGAGGTTGACCAGGCCACAAACTGGAAGTAAGACACAAAACAATACAGCGAGAGATGCGACACTGAGGTTGACCAGGCCACAAACTGGAAGTAAGACATAAAAAAATACAGCGAGAGATGCGACACTGAGGTTGACCAGGCCACAAACTGGAAGTAAGACATAAAAAAATACAGCGAGAGATGCGACACTGAGGTTGACCAGGCCACAAACTGGAAGTAAGACATAAAAAAATACAGCGAGAGATGCGACACTGAGGTTGACCAGGCCACAAACTGGAAGTAAGACACCAAAACAATACAGCGAGAGATGCAACACTGAGGACAAACACGGTGTAGATAGCATACAAACTGGAAGTAAGACACCAAAACAATACAGCGAGAGATGCAACACTGAGGACAAACACGGTGTAGATAGCATACAAACTGGAAGTAAGACACCAAAACAATACAGCGAGAGATGCAACACTGAGGACAAACACGGTGTAGATAACATACAAACTGGAAGTAAGACACCAAAACAATACAGCGAGAGATGCAACACTGAGGACAAACACGGTGTAGATAGCATACAAACTGGAAGTAAGACACAAAAAAACAATACAGCGAGAGATGCAACACTGAGGTTGACCAGGCCACAAACTGGAAGTAAGACATAAAAAACAATACAGCGAGAGATGCAACACTGAGGTTGACCAGGCCACAAACTGGAAGTAAGACATAAAAAAATACAGCGAGAGATGCGACACTGAGGACAAACACGGTGTAGATAACATCTCAAGAGCTGCCACTGTTTCAAACCAAATGGGGGCGTAACTACAGTGCCGCCGGACCCCGCAATGCGGGGGGGGGGGGGGGGGGGGGGGCACGCCGTTTAGGTGCCCACAGCCGACCATAATCAATTTTTTTAGTAAAAAATTTGATTTTCATTCATTTTGACTTGATGGTTGTTTTGTAAAAAGAATACTGTAGCTGCGGTTGGATTATCTTTATTCTATAGACACCATCCCACGCTCTTTGATGTATTAAACAAATGTGAAAGATAGGCAAACGTTTTGACCTTTCTATGACTTATTTCCCTTTTTTAGATAGTCAGATAGTGGTGCTCATTAGCTCATTTTAATAGATTTGTACTAAACAATTAAACTAGCAATTACTTCTCTTAATTATTTTTTTAAACACATACTAAAGAATGGCATAGTATAAAAAGGATATGTATTTAAAATTAATAATATAAATACAAAAAGACATAAAAATAAACATAACACGAGAAACCATTACATGTACAAATCTTTGATATTTCATATTCTTTTGACCATCTCAAGATTTGGAAATGTAATTACAACCGACATAAAATAAAGCAGAGATTTTCAAAACAGACTAATGCACTCACACACATGAGATGTTGTTGTTATTTGTTTTCATTGAAAAAAAACAAAGACTTAAATTTTTTCAAAACCCGATCAGGCCAGAATGGAGTATCCTATGTTCATATATTTTGAATATATATATATATATATATATATATATATATATATATATATATATATATATATATATATATATATATATATATATATATATATATGGGGGGGAATTTTTTTTTGCGGGGTGGCCCTTTTTTTCTAGTTCCGCCACTGCCCACCACCTCAACACTGTAGAGATGTTACGGTCAAAGCCCGAAGTCGGCCAATGCCCGCATTGGCTAAATTATTAGATATGGTGACACCCAAGCCCTGGTCGTTGATTGACTTTAATTACCAGTAACTAAAAATATTCAACTTAACATCTTTTCCTCTGTAAATTTTGCAGTTGGTGTGACCCTTAGGTGATAGCTTTATAATGTGTACAGTTAACAATAAAGATGTTTATATGTAGTAGGTAACTAATACAGTTGGATGTAGCATTCTTTTCTCTATATTTAGCAGGTTAATGTGATTGTGTCTCCTTGCCACGTTTGTCGGGATTTGTAAATTTTTTACTCTAATTTAGCATTAATTGACTGGCAAAATTAATTTTCCAGCTATATACTTTGTACATTTTTTAGCCTTGGTGTCACACCCTAAATGGTGTCACCCGGTGCGGTCCGCACCCCCCCCCCCCCCTACCTCGCGACGCCTCTGCTCTACTCCACCTATTCTGATTGTTTTTTTATTTTGTTTAAAGTTGTTTTTATTTTTACAGTTTAATTTTTTTTTTTTTTTTGAGTTTTGAAAATTAAAATAATTATTATGGAACTGGAGAGCCGCATGCTAACATCAAAAGAGCCGCAGGTTGCCGACCCATGAGATAGACCTATTGCTCTAACCGTCTAACGGTAGAACATGACAAACTATTATCAGTACAAGAAAGTACCAACATAAGTTTCTTATACAGATCATTAATATTCTTGGGAGAGTAGCCCCCATAACACCCCAAAAGAAACAATAGTTTAATGACTTGTTATATTTAATGTTGTTGTTTTTTTAACACTAATGTGATGTTACTTGTTAATTTTTATTTTATTTTGTTAGCTTATTTAAAATAAAAGTATACAGTAAAACAGACACACAGACACGCTAACATGTACATTCGTACATGTAACTCGTTCATGCTTATATTATACATATATAGGACTGGTAATTGCTTATATCATACATATATCGGACTAGTTCTTGCTTATATCATACATATATCAGACTGGTTCTTGCTTATATCATACATATATAGGACTAGTTCTTGCTTATATCATACATATATCGGACTAGTTCTTGCTTATATCATACATATATAGGACTGGTTCTTGCTTATATCATACATATATAGGACTAGTTCTTGCTTATATCATACATATATCGGACTAGTTCTTGCTTATATCATACATATATAGGACTAGTTCTAGTTTATATCATACATATATAGGACTAGTTCTTGCTTATATCATACATATATAGGACTAGTTCTTGCTTATATCATACATATATAGGACTGGTTCTTGCTTATATCATACATATATAGGACTAGTTCTTGCTTATATCATACATATATCGGACTAGTTCTTGCTTATATCATACATATATAGGACTAGTTCTAGCTTATATCATACATATATAGGACTAGTTCTTGCTTATATCATACATATATAGGACTAGTTCTTGCTTATATCATACATATATAGGACTAGTTCTTGCTTATATCGTACATATATAGGACTAGTTCTTGCTTATATCATACATATATAGGACTAGTTCTTGCTTATATCATACATATATAGGACTAGTTCTTGCTTATATCATACATATATAGGACTAGTTCTTGCTTATATCATACATATATAGGACTAGTTCTTGCTTATATCATACATACATACATAGGACTAGTTCTTGTTTATAATGCACAAGCATTTAAAAGAGCACTCACATATCTGTACCGGCCATGTATTAAAATTCTTCTTTTACTCGCACGAAAACAGACACAACATACTAAAACAGTTTAAACGTTGTAAACAGAACTATAATACAAGTGAGTGTTACAGAAATGGTCACTTGACAATGACGGAATTAGAATGGTCACATGATTATGCTGGAATTAGAATGGTCACATGACTATGCTGAAATTAGAATGGTCACATGACTATGCTGAAATTAGAATGGTCACATGACTATGCTGGAATTAGAATGGTCACATGACTATGATGGAATTAGAATGGTCACATGACTATGCTGAAATTAGAATGGTCACATGACTATGCTGGAATTGGAATGGTCACATGACTATGCTGAAATTAGAATGGTCACATGACTATGCTGGAATTAGAATGGTCACATGACTATGATGGAATTAGAACGGTCACATGACTATGCTGGAATTAGAATGGTCACATGACTATGCTGGAATTAGAATGGTCGCATGACTATGATGGAATTAGAATGGTCATATGACTATGGGATTAAAAGGGTCACTTACTCGCTCCCCCGAGCTTGTAGTTGTCGCTCATCACCGTTTTGTTACGAATCGTGTGGAGGTGGACGTTCTCTTTACCTGCTCGGTCTTCGCGCAGCAAATTTCCGTTCAAGACAAACGTGGCGAAATTAAAGGCTTGTTCATACTCTCGGTCTGTGATGTCCATGTTGTCTTGTAAAATTAAGCCTGGGGAGGAATAAGAAAGTTACAGCTGATCATTCAGTAACATTATGGGCATGGGACGAAATAGGAGGAAGTGAACTCAACCAGTTTCAGTGATGTGGAAAATAAAAGGCTAATGCAGTCCACTTCCTGTCCTTAGCGTTTACTTTGCTATGCGTGAGCCAGGTACCCAGTACAGCTGGGTGGATTTAAAGACACTCTACGGACCAGAGCCCGTGATCCGAACCCAAGACTTTCGGGATGTCAAACGTGCGTTCTGCCGCTTGGCCAACAATTGTAAATAGTAAAAACAATTTTTAAAAACGTGCGGAAAATGATGGCTCTATAAAGTCAATTAAAAACATAATGCTTCAAATAAATTCGTCTTTATTAATCCACTGTTCTTTTCTTGTCCTATCGTTTTTCGGACACTAACCTTGAGTAATATTTATCAAACAATGCAATGACATGCCACGATCTAACATTTTTACTTGGCATGGGTTGGTCTAGTGACTCCAGCATGGGTTGGTCTAGTACAGCATGGGTTGGTCTAGTGCCGCATGGGTTGGTCTAGTACAGCATGGGTTGGTCTAGTGACTCCAGCATGGGTTGGTCTAGTACAGCATGGGTTGGTCTAGTGCCGCATGGGTTGGTCTAGTGACTCCAGCATGGGTTGGTCTAGTACAGCATGGGTTGGTCTAGTGCCGCATGGGTTGGTCTAGTACAGCATGAGTTGGTCTAGTGCAGCATGGGTTGGTCTAGTGACTCCAGCATGGGTTGGTCTAGTACAGCATGGGTTGGTCTAGTGCCGCATGGGTTGGTCTAGTACAGCATGGGTTGGTCTAGTGACTCCAGCATGGGTTGGTCTAGTGCCGCATGGGTTGGTCTAGTACTGCATGGGTTGGTCTAGTAACTCCAGCATGGGTTGGTCTAGTAACTCCAGCATGGGTTGGTCTAGTGCAGCATGGGTTGGTCTAGTGACTCCAGAATGGGTTGGTCTAGTGACTCCAGCATGGGTTGGTCTAGTACTGCATGGGTTGGTCTAGTACAACATGGGTTGGTCTAGTGACTCCAGCATGGGTTGGTCTAGTGCAGCATGGGTTGGTCTAGTGACTCCAGCATGGGTTGGTCTAGTAACTCCACCATGGGTTGGTTAGTGCAGCATGGGTTGGTCTAGTACTGCATGGGTTGGTCTAGAGACTCCAGCATGGGTTGGTCTAGTACTGCATGGGTTGGTCTAGTGACTCCAGCATGGGTTGGTCTAGTGCAGCATGGGTTTGTCTAGTGACTCCAGCATGGGTTGGTCTAGTGACTCCAGCATGGGTTGGTCTAGTGCAGCATGGGTTGGTCTAGTGACTCCAGCATGGGTTGGTCTAGTGATTCCAGCATGGGTTGGTCTAGTACTGCATGGGTTGGTCTAGTGACTTCAGCATGGGTTGGTCTAGTGCAGCATGGGTTGGTCTAGTGCCGCATGGGTTGGTCTAGTGACTCCAGCATGGGTTGGTCTAGTGCCGCATGGGTTGGTCTAGTGCAGCATGGGTTTGTCTAGTGACTCCAGCATGGGTTGGTCTAGTGACTCCAGCATGGGTTGGTCTAGTGCCGCATGGGTTGGTCTAGTGACTCCAGCAAGGGTTGGTCTAGTGCAGCATGGGTTGGTCTAGTGACTCCAGCATGGGTTGGTCTAGTGCAGCATGGGTTGGTCTAGTGACTCCAGCATGGGTTGGTCTAGTAACTCCAGCATGGGTTGGTCTAGTGCCGCATGGGTTGGTCTAGTGCAGCATGGGTTGGTCTAGTGACTCCAGCATGGGTTGGTCTAGTGACTCCAGCATGGGTTGGTCTAGTGATTCCAGCATGGGTTGTTCAAGTACAACATGGGTTGGTCTAGTGCAGCATGGATTGGTCTAGTGACTCCAGCATGGGTTGGTCTAGTGATTCCAGCATGGGTTGGTCTAGTACTGCATGGGTTGGTCTAGTGCCGCATGGGTTGGTCTAGTGACTCCAGCATGAGTTGGTCTAGTGACTCCAGCATGAGTTGGTCTAGTGCCGCATGGGTTGGTCTAGTGCAGCATGGGTTGGTCTAGTGACTCCAGCATGGGTTGGTCTAGTGACTCCAGCATGGGTTGGTCTAGTACAGCATGGGTTGGTCTAGTAACTCCAGCATGGGTTGGTCTAGTGCCGCATGGGTTGGTCTAGTGCAGCATGGGTTGGTCTAGTGACTCCAGCATGAGTTGGTCTAGTGACTCCAGCATGGGTTGGTCTAGTGCAGCATGGGTTGGTCTAGTGCAGCATGGGTTGGTCTAGTAACTCCAGCATGGGTTGGTCTAGTGCCGCATGGGTTGGTCTAGTGCAGCATGGGTTGGTCTAGTGACTCCAGCATGAGTTGGTCTAGTGACTCCAGCATGGGTTGGTCTAGTGCAGCATGGGTTGGTCTAGTGCCGCATGGGTTGGTCTAGTGACTCCAGCATGGGTTGATCTAGTGCCGCATGGGTTGGTCTAGTGCAGCATGGGTTTGTCTAGTGACTCCAGCATGGGTTGGTCTAGTGACTCCAGCATGGGTTGGTCTAGTGCCGCATGGGTTGGTCTAGTGACTCCAGCAAGGGTTGGTCTAGTGCAGCATGGGTTGGTCTAGTGACTCCAGCATGGGTTGGTCTAGTGCAGCATGGGTTGGTCTAGTGACTCCAGCATGGGTTGGTCTAGTAACTCCAGCATGGGTTGGTCTAGTGCCGCATGGGTTGGTCTAGTGCAGCATGGGTTGGTCTAGTGACTCCAGCATGGGTTGGTCTAGTGACTCCAGCATGGGTTGGTCTAGTGCCGCATGGGTTGGTCTAGTGACTTCAGCATGGGTTGGTCTAGTAACTCCAGCATGGGTTGGTCTAGTACAGCATGGGTTGGTCTAGTGCAGCATGGATTGGTCTAGTGACTCCAGCATGGGTTGGTCTAGTGATTCCAGCATGGGTTGGTCTAGTACTGCATGGGTTGGTCTAGTGACTTCAGCATGGGTTGGTCTAGTGCCGCATGGGTTGGTCTAGTGCAGCATGGGTTGGTCTAGTGACTTCAGCATGGGTTGGTCTAGTGCAGCATGGGTTGGTCTAGTGACTCCAGCATGGGTTGGTCTAGTGACTCCAGCATGGGTTGGTCTAGTGCAGCATGGGTTGGTCTAGTGCAGCATGGGTTGGTCTAGTGACTCCAGCATGGGTTGGTCTAGTGACTCCAGCATGGGTTGGTCTAGTGATTCCAGCATGGGTTGGTCTAGTACTGCATGGGTTGGTCTAGTGACTTCAGCATGGGTTGGTCTAGTGCCGCATGGGTTGGTCTAGTGCAGCATGGGTTGGTCTAGTGACTCCAGCATGAGTTGGTCTAGTGACTCCAGCATGGGTTGGTCTAGTGACTCCAGCATGAGTTGGTCTAGTACAACATGGGTTGGTCTAGTGACTCCAGCATGAGTTGGTCTAGTACAGCATGGGTTGGTCTAGTGACTCCAGCATGGGTTGGTCTAGTGACTCCAGCATGAGTTGGTCTAGTACAACATGGGTTGGTCTAGTGACTCCAGCATGAGTTGGTCTAGTACAACATGGGTTGGTCTAGTGACTCCAGCATGAGTTGGTCTAGTGACTCCAGCATGGGTTGGTCTAGTGCCGCATGGGTTGGTCTAGTGACTCCAGCATGAGTTGGTCTAGTGCCGCATGGGTTGGTCTAGTGCAGCATGGGTTGGTCTAGTGACTCCAGCATGGGTTGGTCTAGTGACTCCAGCATGGGTTGGTCTAGTACAGCATGGGTTGGTCTAGTAACTCCAGCATGGGTTGGTCTAGTGCCGCATGGGTTGGTCTAGTGCAGCATGGGTTGGTCTAGTGACTCTTGCATGAGTTGGTCTAGTGACTCCAGCATGGGTTGGTCTAGTGATTCCAGCATGGGTTGGTCTAGTACTGCATGGGTTGGTCTAGTGACTCCAGCATCGGTTGGTCTAGTGCCGCATGGGTTGGTCTAGTGCAGCATGGGTTGGTCTAGTGACTCCAGCATGGGTTGGTCTAGTGACTCCAGCATGGGTTGGTCTAGTGCCGCATGGGTTGGTCTAGTGCAGCATGGGTTGGTCTAGTGACTCCAGCATGGGTTGGTCTAGTGACTCCAGCATGAGTTGGTCTAGTGACTCCAGCATGGGTTGGTCTAGTACAGCATGGGTTGGTCTAGTGCAAAATGGGTTGGTCTAGTGACTCCAGCATAGGTTGGTCTAGTGACTCTATTATGAGTTGGTCTAGTACAGCATGGGTTGGTATAGTAAGTCTTAAATGGGTTGGTCTTGAAACACGATAAATGTACGCATTAAGATATGTATTTTGATAAACAATAGCTTTGTAACCAATGTTGTATGGGCTTTACATTAATAGGGTTTGTGTATGGATTTTAACATGAAAATTTCTGGAAATAGAATACACAACCGCTTGATTACTTGATAACATTAGAGATATTATACACAACCGCTTGATTATTTAATTAAATTAGAGTTAATTTACACAACTCTTTGATTATTTGATTACATTAGAGATATTATACACAACCGCTTGATTATTTAATTAAATTAGGGATAATTTACACAAACCTTTGATTATTTGATTACCTAGAGATAATATACATAACCCTTTGATTATTTAATTAAATTAGAGATAATTTACACAACCCTTTGATTATCTGATGTAGTTCCGTATTGCTCCAGACTGACGGATGGTAACTACTTTCTAAAAGCCCGTATCTTGTAGATCTTAGTTGTTGATTCGGCACCAGGGAAAATATCAAGAGAGGCTACCGGGCGCCCCAGTGTCTGTGGAACAGCTCAAGTCTCCCAGACCTAACATCGGTCTCTTTATGCCAATTACGGTAGTGCTCTTGCGGTTAAATCGTTGAAATAAATTCCTCTTTTTTAAAATGCTGGTAAAATAAATCTAATAATTAAATCTATTTCTAAAGCATAGACAGTCAATAAAATGGTACGCAATTGCATTTGAATCTACAAATATTTTCTTCAAACGGCG